ATCCTTAAGTTTGAAAGTTGCAAAGTACGGAATTAATTACCTGCAAATTTTCCTGTATACTGTCGTTCATATGCTACCGTTCGTTAAACTGAGTTTCGTGTTTCGCACCTGTTGTTGATACTGTAAGTCTGTATCTAATTAGCATAAAAATGTCTATTCTTCGTTCTGTGTACAATAACAATCCGGTCTGACGTCTTTCGTTTGTGTAAGCTTTTAGATATGCTCCACGGTTTTCTGTAGATTGAAGAGGAAGTAAGTGAAGAATGGCTAGAAGCTAACTTGTACCTATTGTGTCAAACAACTTTGTTGTATTCAAAAGTTAATTATGTTCTTTAATACTCATTGTATGTTGAAGTATTTAGTGAAACCAAGGCTTTCCGTCTATTCCTTGAGGTAATAAACTTGCCGTGTCTATACACACATGTGGGTGGAGACCAGAAAGATGACAATAAATAAATAAAATCTAGAGTAATGGTGATTGTTAAACTAAAGGTTACTGAGTATATTTGGAAAATGTAAATGTCAAAATACAAAAACATAAATAGTGCAATTTCAAACAGTGAATTGTTTGTTATGGCATGCTGAAGTGGTAGAAGATATGCACAAACCATAGTAAATATTTGAAGAAGATTAAACGTAGGTGTTGCAGAGAATTACTATTGAGTCAATATGAGGTGATGTATGCAAACACTTTAAACTTTTATTAAAGACTTTTCACTTACAACGTTCCGGCTCAAATCTGCCAGAAATTTAAAAGTTCCCATGTGACTTTGGATTTTCCTTTAAAAAGTTCTAAAAATACCTTTTAAGAATCCAAAATTTCAGCTCTAATTTCCAAGTGGTTTTTAAGTTATGACCTTTTGAAGTTTATGTACCACGCCCCCTTTTTCGTACCGGAAATGGCTCCTTTAAATTTGTATGGCTTTTACGAAGCCATATATCCTGAAATAATGAAGATAAAAATTTGCTACATAGACTGAAATTTGGCCCCTCTTTCAAAAAAAACCATTCAACTTTGGGTAGCATATTTCATTAAACTTTCATATGCCTCAAAATCCCCCGAAGCATTGTGCGAAAATAGATTTTCGCCTTTTCGGAGGGACCTGTGATGAATATGCTCATACTACTACATATATAAAAGCTTGCAAGGTAATTAGAGCAATAATGAAAGTATGATGGGGTGCAGAACATGGTTGCAGGACCATTCACCCTAAAAATACCCCTTACTTTGCCCGACTGGATGACCTCCCCTGTGGACACTTAATATTAGTCATAAAATTTATACCAGTACACAATACACATACTGTATCATAAACACAAGTCGAAAGTTTAAACGTTGTTTCTCAACTCTTTATGTGTGAACTGATTTTTAAAAAATGAACAGATTTTAATGTATCCTGGATATCAGGTCAAAGTTCAAGTCACAAATACTGACTTATTTACTTTTGATCTTTGACCTGATATTTTATAATTTTTACATATTGAGTTTCCAGACCACCTCAGGGCCAACCATATTTGGGGATGAAACACAAAATAATATGGATATGGCACACTCTTAAATCTAAATATAATTTATTTTAACCATTCTTTTTCCAATTTTCAAAAATTTAGGCGGCAGGTTTACTTGGTCCCCCTTGAATCTGCCCCTGAACTTGCAAAATTAGGTCCAATACATTCACTTACACACAGGTACTTGGTACTGTAATAGGTTTGAATTTGTTTGTGAAACCAAATAACCCTCTACCTCCCCCTTGAGTCTGCCCCTGAACTTGCAAAATTAGGTCCAATACATTCACTTACACACAAGTACTTGGTACTGTAATAGATTTGATTTGTTTAAGGTGAAACCAAATAACCCTCCACCTCCCCTTTGAATATGCCCCTGAACTTGCAAAATTAGGTCCAATACATTCACTTACACACAAGTACTTGGTAATAGATTTGCTTTGTTTAAGGTGAAACCAAATAACCCTTTACTTGTACAATGCACGCTGCATATAGATATCCCGCAAAAAATAATAATTACCTTGCATTATAATACTGTGTCTTTAGAAACAGTTTATGCATGCAAAGGTATTTATCAATGTATATGAACATGTCATATTATACAACTTATTGCATTTAGTACACGTAACTTGGTCTCATAATGTTGAATTTTCCACAATGGTTATTACTTCTATTGTTATTATTGTTAGTACAGTACTGTTTAAAGGTTATCATGGTGAAGTAATAATATATAATGCTTCTGGTACACCATGTGGATAGTTCTGAAAAGAACTGTTGTTGTAAGATAGAGTTATAAGAGAATAATATCTGCTGCAGATATTATTCGTGTAACATCTGCTCAGATTAAGCGCAGATATTGCTCTCCTGAAGGTGATTGAAACATCTCAATCGAAATATTGAGATATTCTTTTTTTTAACCAAGAACAACAGTTCATTTCAGAACTATCTACGTGGTGTACCGCAAGCATTAATATATAGTACAGTATTGTTATTGTTATTTATTATTTTTGTTATCATCAAGGAAACAAGGATATTTAATTGTCAACAATACAACATAATACATTCAAAATTTGGATCCCGGTGCTTATACAATGTGTTGAATAAAAAACAAATAATTTTTATAAAATAATAATAATAATAATTTATAAAGTTATTATAAGGCATTTTTAGGGGAAATGATTCAAAATAAATCGTTGGGTATTTGGTGCTGGATGCACTTTATCAAGACAATTTTCATGGACATTTTTTCAGGCCTGATTCTCAATATTATTATTGTTCTTCCATTTGGCTCTCTATATTTTATAAACAGAGGCTGCATTTGCATTTAATCATTTCTGTTAAAAACCATTTAAAAAAAAGTTAATTTTATAGAACTTATATTTAATCACCACTACATTAACAGAATTATGCAAAATAGTCTAGCATAACTCTCATTTTCTGTGTCTTCCTCTTTTTTTTTGTTCATTTTTTTAAATAATAATTTACAATGCATTGTGAAAGTATACAACTTTTGAAAATACAGACAATTAGCCAAGAAGAAGACCAAAACATACATGGATGATGAGTGCACTAAAAAAAGAATTCTAAGAACACCTTGCTTTTAGTTACTATAGCTCTAATAAAACATCTTTCCCATGACATGTAAATACAAACAAAATAGTAGACAGCATCATGTTGCATACGAATTACGTACAGATCATCTTTTCAAGAAATAAATTGCAATAATTCAGTTGATGATAACACAATTATCTATTTTAAAAATAGTATCTAAAATTATATATAGAAAAAGATGACAGTAAATATATTGTCACTTATTCTATCAATAGTTTCTGTAAATATATATAGTAGAGGTCACCATGGTAATACTAATTGTCCGATAAATTTATACTTCATGCAACACCACACATGCGTCATTATTTACAAAGACTGCATTATATTCCTATCGGTTCCTACCATTTTAGAGTTTTCTTTGAAACGCCTGCAGTCGTCAGCAATTTTTTGTGTTTGTGTATGGTGTTTACCTTGGATTTGTAAACTCATCAACAAGTTTTAAAGGACCCAAAATTATAGCAAATAGTTGCTGTCTAGAGAGTTGTTGAATGTTGAAATAAGGAAGTAAAATATGTTGGACAAAAACTTATGCAAATACTTTCATCCTAATTGAAAATACACTCCATGTCACTGGCCTTCTTGTATATTAGATAGGGGTAACAAATTAGATTGACCTAGCTAGCAAGCTTAACTTGGGCCTGTATGTTTGTTTTCATAGTTGAATCAATATCAACAAAAATGTTTTTATCTAGGTATGATGGAACAAAAAATGGGTTTGTTTTGTATCCATGTTATTCTAGTTTCATCCATTTTAGCCCAGCAAATAATTAGTAGTCGTAGGAATATAGCAACACAACATTAGTAGTAGTAGGAAAGCCGACGAGAAAGTGACCCTAAATGTCTGTTCAGACTGTCAAATTATCTTTGTCAGAAAACTGTTGTATGCCCATATATAGTCATGATGTGCCTATATATGGTCATGATGTGA